TTCATCGAATATGGGAATGCGATCACAACGTCAATCACCCTATCTATACCAAGTCGGACGAGGTGTATATGCAAGCGGCTTCTCAACATGAGTCTGCTCCAGCGTACTGGCTCCGCGGAGCCATGCCAGCACAGTGGACCGTGGTACCCGAGCCGCCTGATGAGGAGGTCTGGTTCCAGACGGGGCTCAACGATGGTGTTGCTGATGGAGTCTTAGGCCCTGGTGAGTGTGCCAGGCCAGTGCTGCTCTTTGGCGACGCTAGTGGCGGGGCGGATTCATCAGACGGGAGGTTCAGACGTATCGGTCTCGGTCTCGCACAGATGGAAAGTGAAACGGACCTCCAGCTGCAAGTATCCCTCTTTGGAGCTCTCCCAGGTGTTGTCCAGACGGTGCCCAGAGGTGAGCTTATATCTTCTGGGTAGCCTTGCGGCTGACGGAACAATATGTAACGTATGTGACAGACAACCAGATGGTGCACGAAGGTTGGTGGTCTCAGAAATATCATCATCCAACTGGAGAGCACGCTGAGTTGTGGGCGAAGATAGGCTTGCTGTTTCATAACACGGGACGGCGACCTGAGCATGTGACAGTGTTATTCACGAACTCGCACCTGGAGGCCGAGGATGTCGTGCATCGAGCGGGCTCTTCTTGGATGACGGTTGGCAATGCAGCAGCGGACACTTTGGCAGGTGAAGGTGCGACCATAGCTCGTATACCTGAAGCTGTCCGCACCGACATACTGGAAAAGGAGCGCGTGTTGTACCTTATCCGCATGAGGATTCTCAGGTCGCACCTCGACGCCATGGAGGCCGAGAAGACGCTGCAGCCGACCCCGCTGAACGGTCGGCACCCGAGGCGAGGAGCCCGGGGACGGAGGGAAGCGGTGGAGCTCGGTGGGCCTGCTGCTGCTGCTGCTGCCGCCCCCCGCCCCCTCCCCCGCTTCCGAGTCAGAATATTCTGTCGGCCTTTGAGACGAGCCATGCTCTGTCGGAGTGTGGTAGGCGCTGTCTGCGGTGCCGAGGGTCCGCGTCGGCTGCGCGCGTCTCGGTTTGGCGTAAGTCTCCGTGTTTCAGGTTAGTTGCCCTTGATAGCTCCCTTCGTGCACTTCCTGAGGGGGCCACCATTCACACTGCTGGGGGGTTTGCGGACCCTTCTTATTGTATGAGGTTTCACGCCGATTTAACGATTTGGTTTAGTGCGAGTTGTGGGATGTATGGGGACCAGCAGCTATGCGGCCTTGGGAAGGTTTGCGTCCCCCGCCCCACCGCGACGAGGAGTGAATATCTTCGTTTGATTAGGTTGGGGCAATGGCCCAAAGTCTACAGTAAAGCGGAATTAGCTCGTAAAACCCTGAAGAGGTGTAGGTGATGAGTGGAAGGACTACGTCCAGGGCTCCAACTCCAACTCCAACTCCCTCCCTCCCTCCCTCCCTCCCTCCCTCCCTCCCCTCCCCTCCCTCCCTCCCTCCCTCCCTCCTCCTCCTCCTCCCTCCTCCTCCGCCTCCTCCTCCTCCTCCTCCTCCTCCTCCTCTTCCTCCTCCTCCTCCTCCCCTTTCCTCCCCCTCCTCCTCCTCCTCCCCTCCTCCTCCTCCTCCTCCCCTCCTCCTCCTCCTCCTCCTCCTCCTCCTCATTCTTCTCCTCCTCCTCCTCCTCCTGCCCTCCTCCTCCTCCTCCTCATCCTCCTCCTTCTCCTCTTCCTCCTCTCCTCCTCCTCCTCTCCTCCCCTCCTCCTCCTCCTCCTCCTCCCCTCCTCCCCCTCCTCCCCCTCCTCCCCCTCCTCCTCTTCCTCCGCCTCCGCCTCCGCCTCCTCCTCCTCCTCCGCCTCCTCCTCCTCCCTCCTCCTCCTCCTCCTCCTCCTCCTCCTCCTCCTCCCCTCCTCCTCCTCCTCCTCCTCCTCCTCCTCCCCCCCCTCCTCCGCCTCCGCCTCCTCCTCCTCCTCCGCCTCCTCCTCCGCCTCCTCCTCCTCCTTCTCCTCCTCCTCCTCTCCGCCCTTCTTCCGTCTGCGCTTCCTGCCCCTCGCCCGCTAGCCCACACCCATGGCGACCACGACGACTAGCAGGTCCGTAGCAGAGGTAGGACCAGCGTCGAATTGTGCAGGCCGATTTTTTCAACTCCCCTCCCTTTGTCGGTGACTTGGTGGTGGTCATCGACGTCGGCGTCGTCGTCGGCGTCGTCGTCGTCTTGTTCGTCGTCGCCGTCGACATCCATGTCGCTGTCTCCACCTCTCTTCCCTCGGCGCCCTTGGGCGGATCCTGGGAATGCCAGCCGCTGGCTGCCAGCAGCTCCTGGGCGCGGGCGGACGGCTCCGAGTCCTCCTGCCCTCCCCGAGCCACCAGGAGCTGCGGCGCGCGGTGGCGCTTGCGGAGGAGACGCGGGGGCGGGCGCAGCGGCACCTCGGCGAGCTGGAGGCGCATCAGGCCGAGATCGCCGACCGTGCTCAGGATCAGCATCGCTTTGCCAAGCCGGGGGGGCGTACAGCCACCCGCACAGGAAGGGATGAGCATCCCTCATCCTCCTCCTCTCCCTCCCTCTCCTCCTCCTCCTTCTCCTCCTCCTCCCCTCCTCCTTCCTCTCCTCCTCCTCCTCCCTCCCTCCTCCTCCTCCTCCCCCTCCCTCCTCCCTCCTCATCCTCCTCCTCCTCCCGCCTCCTCCTCCTCCTCCTCCTCCTCTCCTCCTCTCCTCCTCCCTCCTCCCCTCCCCCTCCTCCTCTCCTCCTCCTCCTCCTTCTCCTCCTCCTCCTCCTCCTCATCCTCCTCCTTCTCCTCCTCCCTCCTTCTCCTCCTCCTCTTCCCTTCGGCCCATCCTTGGCGACTTGTGCTGGCCAGCCTCGTTCGAAAGGGCGCCCTCGAGGCAGCGAAGTTAATCGCGCTTCGCGCTTCGCGATTCGGCTCCGATCCCTCATCCTCCTCTTCTCCCCTGGGAGGCGGCGCGAGAGCGCAAAATTATTCGCACCTCGCGCTTCGCGCAGCGCGAAGCGCGAAGTTGGGAGCCCTTGGAAGAGGCATCAACATGGCCCTCCCAGGCCCCTGCGTCCCTCTCGCGCGTCCTCCTATGACACGGGTCGACTGCGCAGAAGCCGCTCCTGGGCCCAGGATGGGCCTGGCCAGGGGCAGCGGGCGTCACCAGATCTCGGCGCCCTCCAGGAGGTGCTGCAGGAGCTCGCGCACGAGCGCGCCGCGCGCGCCGACGCGGACCAGCGGCAGCGGGCGCTCGCCGAGGAGGTGGCCGGGCTGCGCCGCGAGGCCGCTGAGGAGCGCGCCGGCGCGGCCAGCGCGGAGGGGCTCCGCCGCGCCGAGGCCCAGGCGCTGTGTGGCGAGCTCGAGGCCGCGCGCACGGAGCTCTCCGGCGCACGGGGCCTGCTGCGCACCGAGCAGAGCGCGCTGCAGGCGTCGAGGAGGAACAAAGGCGCCACAAGCAGGCATTTTTGGAGCTCCGCGCGCCTCCGGCACTTTGGGTCGGCGCCTCCAGCGCCACCCGCCCTGGCGGCGCCTCCGGCGCCGCCCCTGGCGCGTTCCGCGCGCCAGGGAGGGGAGTCCACTGCCGATCCAAGGAATCCGCGCGGGGCGTCGAGAGTTCACGTTTGTGCTGCTTTCTCTTCCTGTCAGGAGGCGCAAGCGCGCCAGTTGACGACCGAGCAGGAGCTGGCGCGGGCTCGGCTGGAGCACGACCGACGGGCCGACGCCGAGGCGCGTTACAGCGACGAGGCCGTGCGGACGCAGACACTGATGCTGTCCGAGTTGGGCGCGTTCAGACTGAAGGCCCGCGAGCGGATCCAGGCGATCAGCGATGTCCGCGACATGCTGAACGGCGAGCGCCACCAGGCCTCAGCATCGTTTTAGTCCTAGCGCCATCCCCGCTGGGCCGCGCTATCTCGCCCCCCCCACCCCACCCCCCCTGGCGAGACCCGAGGGGAACAGCCCAGATCCCCATCCGGGGCGGGGAGGAAGCGCCCAGCGGGGCCCAGGCCACGCCAGTGGGTATCGCGCTTGTTTTCACATGTTTAGATCGCCCAGGCGGATATATAGCATGAGGGTGTACGCTTGTTTCCATGTGCCCAGGTCGCCCAGGCGGACGTCTGACGTGGACATGGGCTGAGGATGCCTCGAGTGAGACGCTTGCTGTCACGTGTCCAGGTCGCCCAAGCGGATGTCTGGCACAAAACGATGCCCCAGGCCGGCGCCCTGCGGGAGCAGCTCACCGCCGCCCGACGCGCGCTCGCGGAGGACGCCGGCCGCGGCCCTGCCGCCGGCCCCGAGCCGCCGTCGGGGCAGGCGAGGGCGCGGCCCGCCGCTCGCGAGCCCGAGCGCGAGCCGGGCGCGGGGCCCGCCGGGCGCGGCCCGCTGGAGCGCGGGCCCTCGCCGCGGCCTGGGCGCGGCGGGCCTGGGTGGGCGCTGCCAGGAGGTCAGGCGATCGCAAGCACGGATCAGGGGGGCGCGGATTAGCGCTGCAAGTCGGGCATGAACTTCTGCAGGAGGAACTTTCAGTCCAGAGAAAATCTGGGGACGAGTTTTTAAGCGTCGTCCAGAATCCGCCTGGAGGAGGACACGCCCGACCTAAGATTAGCGACGGGTTCCGTTTCCTTGGGAAATCGCGGATTTCCGCCGCCGAGTGAGGCGGCACGGGCCGCATTTAGATCCGTGGATTTGGCGACCGCGCGCAAAATCCATGGATCGCTGATCCATGTTTGCGTGTCCCCGAGAAGGTCCGAGCTGGCGGGGGGTCTGAGGTGGCCTGGCACTGGTTCTGGCGAGCACGAGGGGGGGGGGTCGAGGAATTCGAAGCCCTGGGTTCGAGGAGTTTTTTTTGCACTCTTCAGCTTGTGGGGGCCGATTTCGGGACCAGGGAGCGTCAGAAACGGATCCGGGGGGAGAAAACTACACCAGATGGAGCCCGGGAGGGGTCTGGGTATTGATTTTGAGCGGATTTGCCCTTGTCCCCCCTTCTTGACGGATTTTCTGGGGCCCATCCAGTTCATACCCCCTGGCCGCCTCCAACCAGAAGGCCCTGCCCCTTGCTGCGAGCACCCGGCGCCGCAGGAGGAGAGCCCATGCCGGCAGCGGCGCGCTTCTGCCTCGCCATCCGCAGAAGGCATCCATGCACCGCCACAGGCGCTCGGCGGGTGTCGTCCTGGGCCCCACGATGGCGCACAGGCCTTCCCAGAGCCTTGGCCCAGGGTGGCCCTGGCCAGGCACGGTGGTGGTGCACAGGCGCCTTCTGCGCATCGCCAGCCCCACTCGCCGGGCATCTGGCCACGGCCGTCGAGATCCTGCCCGAAGCTGCGCCTGCGGCACGGGGCGCGGCGGCGGTGGCGTCCTCCTCGCGGGCGGCGGGGTCGAGCTGCCGGGCGGCCCTGGCGGCGGCGGCGGCACCCTCCTCGGGGGCGGCGGTGGCGGCGGCCTCCTCGCGGTCGACCGGGCCGAGCTGCCAGGCGGTGCCGTGCGGTGTTTGTTTTCGGATGGGCGGGGTCGATCGATGATCCTCGGGGCGTGTGATGATGGCCCAGCGTGGGTGCGTTTTCTTGACTTCGTGCAGCTCCGCCGACAGCACGCGGCCTGTGCTGGCCCTCGCTGCACCGCCGTCGTGCCGAAGGGCCTCGGTGGACAGGCACACGTTGGCGCCAGCACACGTCCTGAGGAGCATCGAAGGGTGAGGGTGAGTGGGAGGGGAAGAACGAGGGCAACGAGGGGGGGGCGCCCCGAGAGGCGCTCAGAACGTGGGCTTCCCAACCAGACGGCCTCGGAAGCTTTCGAGGGTCCATCCACGACGGCGGGAGGCGGGAGGGCTCCCCCCTGCTCCTCCCCTCTGCTCCTGCCCCCTGCTCCTCCTCCTCCTCCTCCTCTTCCGCGAGGCCCGCCCGCCTTCTCGGGGTCAGTGGGAGCGGGGGTGTTTTGGGGGGGGGCCTGGGGGCGGGGAGCGGCGGATGTGCTCCGCCCCGCCTCGTCTCTCGTGGTCCCATCGCCGTCCAGCTCAGGGGGCCCCACTTGCCGCCTCGTCCCGCGGCATCGCTGTGGGGTGCACGCGCTCAGATGCTCGCCTCGTCATCTGGAGGAGCGCGCGCGTGGGGTGGTGGTGCTCTCTGGACTGCATCTTCTCTCTTGCCAGCTCTCGCTGCCTCTCGCAGCTTTCATTCGTTTTGCGTCAAACTGATCACGTGCGTCGGCGTAAACTTGGCCATTCACCACGCCTACCCCTAAGGAGGCGTTCGTTTAGGACAGTAGCGCGGACGACGCCAAAGCGCTTGGTCGCGTTGCCGCAACGGGCCTGTGCTGCCACCCCCACTTCCCCTCGCCTCTCATCCCCTTCCCTCCCTTCCTTCCCTTCTCCTCTTCTCCTCCACTTCACTCCTCTCCACTCTCCTCGTCCTCTCCACTCTTCGACTCCGCTCTCGTCCTCCAATCCACCACCCTCCTCCACTCTCCCCTCCCCTCTCTGTTCTCATTTTCCTCACCTCCCCTCGCCTCTTTGTGACCGACAGTGGTTACGCAGCCAATTTGGCTTTGGGGCGCGCTCGCGCCAGAGGATTGAATGATAGTGCTATCTCACACACTTGGTTGAGAAAAGGTGTTCCTTCTAGGCCTTTCGGCCCTCCCTGCCCCCGATGCCTGCCGACAATGGTAGCCGGAGCGTGGACGAGGCACTGGGTCAAGGGGGCGCCGCTGAGCCAGGTGCTGAGGGTGCTGCACGAAATCAGGAGGTTCCCGAGCGAGAGGGCGCCCATGTGAACGACCCATGGGAAAGGATCTCCACTCCTCAGAAGATAGACGGGGCTGCAGCTGGCCCTGAGTCAGATGAGGACGCTTGGAGAAACTGGGGGCGCGCAGGCTGGTCTGATTGGCATTGGTCTTCCTCCTGGAGCTGGTGGGGTTCCGGCTTGTGGGGAAAGGCACCTGGGGATGAAGTCAATCGAGACTATTCAGCGCCTCCGACGTGGCATGGGCTAGAGAATTTGGAGCTGTACTTGGCAAGTCTCAAGTCCTGGGACGGGCGGACCGCATTCAAGGCGGAGACCCGCGCCGGGCGAGTGATCGAGACGTTCCCCATCGAGCTTCAGGCGAGATTCAAGAGTATCAGGCACCCGACCGACGAGAGCGACGGCCTCAGTAAGGTCATTGACCATCTTAAGTTGCTCAACGGGGAGCGTCCAGGGGATAAAGAGCGTGAGGCCCACAATCAGGCACTATTTGACTACTCGATAAAGAAGGGAGAGTCCCTCACAGACTACGTGATCAGGAGAGATCAACAGATTGCGGCCGCAGAACGGCTGGGACTGACACTTCCTGACACGGTGAAGGCCAGGTACTACGAGGAAGGAGCTAACTTGAACCCCCAGCTTCGACTCAACTTGAGGACCCTGATGGCTGGCAAAAGGACCGTGGAGGCTGTTCGTTCTGCCCTACTGGAACTGGACATCACTGAGAGGCAGACGCTCCCGAAGCCACAGGCTCCAGCTCAGGCCAGGAGCTTCGCGACCACGGTACCGGTCCTCGACGAGGCAGGGGATTACGAGTGCGACGCATGTGACGACAGCGAGTGTTTCGGCCTCTACGAGATGGAGTTCGATGAGCAGGAGCTCGCCACCATCCTCGTTTCGCTAGACTCACAGGATCTTGACGAGGAGCACATCATGGAGGTGTTTGCTGAGGTGACGCTACCTCAGCGTCGTCGTACGTGGGCAGAGTCTAGGCAGCTCAAGACGAACAGAAAAGTGGACAGGGATTTCTTTGACCGCAGCAAGGGAAAGGGAACGAAGAAGGTCACCAGAGACGATTTTAAAAAGAGGTCCCGCTGTTCGAACTGCGGGGAAAAAGGGCATTGGCGAGAAGACTGTCGACGACCATATCGGAGTAAGGCCGATAGGCTGAAGTCCGAGTCATCACGGCCGGCAGCGGTCAACAAGGGCCCGGACAAGAAGCCAGCGCAGAGCTCGTTCTACTTCAATTTGGACTACGACGCGACTCACTCCGGGACGAGCTGGGCAGCGATTTTGGATGAGTCGGGCCAGGTGGGCTCGCTCTCCGCTGCCGCCGCGACTGCGGGTCAGGTGGACCAGCAGGAGCGCGACCTGGGTCAGGTGGATCTGGAAATGCTCGCGGCGGCGACGCTGCAGGACATGGACGAGTACGCGCTGGTAGACACCGCTGCTGGACAGGCTCTGATAGGCACACCAGACATCGACAAGTTGAGGGCTGCTTTCAAGAAAAAGGGTTTCGAGATACACTTTGTCGACACCGACAGAGTTCCCACGGCGAACGGAGTCGGAGGAAAAGTCAAGCCAGTCGGAGTTGCAGCAGTTCCAGTGTCGCTTCAACATTGTGGAGTGGTGGAGTTCTTGGTCCTCCCGCATCCTTGCCCTCCCTTGCTTCCGGCGAAGTTTCTCGATTTTCTGAGGTCAGTAATAGATCTGCGTCGTAATGTGATGACGATTGGAGAAGATGGAAGTCGACGTGATTTGGATCTGCTCAAGCTTCCTTCGGGGCATCGAGCAGTACCATTGATAGGATGCAAGCCGAGCGAGTTCGCAATCAGTGAGGGTCTGGCCAGCAAATTTCCGCCTTTCGTCGTGAAGGCAGGTCGTGGTGATGTCTGGGCAGAGATCCCGAAGACGCTCCAGGACTGCTGGGTTCAGGTTCCAGGTGCTGTTCGTCGAGTGCACGTGGGCCCTCGCCGTGAGGCTTTCAGCTTCCCCGAGGCTGAGCCGCCTCCTGTTCCAGTCTCGCAGTCAGGGCCGGGCCGCGTCACGTACCAGATGCTTGACAATGAGTTTTCCGCTTGCAGCGTTGTCGAGAGCATCTGGGTCGACGGCATCCCGAGCGAGACCCTGAGCTTCACGGGCCGCTGGATCGGGTGCGCCGAGTTTCCGATCGAGCACTCGAATCAGGACTTAGGGGAAGGGCTGCAGCGGGGCACGTGTGGTAGGTATCACTCTTTCCCTCTCTCTCTAGGCCTCGATTCAGAACAGCCGGGTACCAGGACCAGACAGTTTTCGGGTCTCGGGACTAGCCGATCCTCCGTAGCACATCCCGGCTCAAGCAATGCCAGCAAACAGCCGAACCAGCGAGACCGACCAGCGGTACCACTAGGACAGCACCAGAGCGATGCCATCCGAGAAGATCAGGATCATCAAGAGCCGGAGCGCCCGCTCGCTACGGAGCTTGAGGCACCAGGCGCTGAAGGCCCAGCGCGACGACTTCCAGCCCGACGAGGACCTGGAGGTCATTCCCGAGAACACGGAGGAGGACCCCGACTCGGAGCTCGAGATGAACTGGGACCAGACTCCAGATCCTTGGATAGACGGCATGCTGAGCTCAATCAACTACGAGGAGGAGAGCATGACGGCGGTGGAGAAGGAGCTGTTCTTCGAGGGTGCCTTCCTGCTCAGCCCAGCTGCGCGCGCCTGGAGGAGGTGGTCGATCAAGATGATGCTGTACCTCAGGGTGTGTGCGATTTCCCGTCTGTCGGCGATCGTAGCCCCTCGCATGTCCAAGGTGAAGAGCGAGGAGGAGGAAGCGAAAGCGAGCTGCTCCCATCCGATGGAGGCGAGGTGGAGCGGCGGAAACGGGTACGGGTACTACACGAAGTGCCGGATCTGCGACACCCGGCTCAGCTTCGTGAGGAAAACGAAGGAGGAGATCGAGGGGGCCAAGCGCAAGGTGCTGGCCAAGCGCGAGTCCAAGACGAAGGTCGAGAAGGAGGAGTCGCCGGCGGAGATCAAGGTCGAGCCTCCGCCGAGGTACAAGGCCCCGTCGAGGTACGTCGAGTTCTGCGACGGGGTGCCAGTCAAGCCGCCACCGCCGACGGCGAGGAAGTCCTTGCCAGTCACGAAGCCGAGGGCGATCAGCAGCGCGGCAGGCAGCGGCGGTGCGGCGAGCAGCAGCAGCGGCAACCTCAGCAACATCGAGAAGGGCTTCGAGACGATGCAGTGGATGATGGTGGAGGACCGCAAGGAGCGCCAGCAGCAGATGGACCTGCTGATCAGCGTGATGAAGGGGCTCGGAGCTCTGCGCCCGGTGGCCGCGCCTCAGGAGGACGAGGAGAGCTAGGCGCCACCCAGAGTGACGCATGCACGGAGGCAGATGCTTCCGGCTCTGCCGACCTCTCGGGTCGGTGTGCTAGGCTTGAAGCCAAATGTCCTGATGAAAAAGGAAGCCCTGCCCATGTCTCTCATTCCCGTCCTTCCTCCTCTGCCTCATCCCTTTTCTTTCTGAACAGAAAGATCCCGGCCCAGGCTGAGATCCTTGACGCCCTTCCCGACCCGGGATCTCACGGCAGCTGGATTGTCAAGAGTTTCAAAGCCGCGGCGAGAGACCTCGCCCGCCCGGTCAGAAAACGGGTTCCTCGTTTCGCGTCAGGGGTCTGGGATCTGGAGACAGGTAAGAGGGTCAGTCAAGATGAGGTCTCCTCTTTGCTCTCTTGGGTTCCCAGAAGTCTTTCGGACCAAGAAAAAGGAGTCTGGGCCACGCAGCTGGCTATGGAGCGGTCAGGAGGCCGGAATTTCGGAGACCCGCTCGAAGGGGTTCGAAGGCTTCGGGTCCTCGACTCAGAGTCAGGGACGGTCGTGCTGGACGAGCTCTGCGTCTTGTTGTCCTTCACGGCTGTCGCCGAGGCCTTAGATGGTCTCCCCGCCAGTTCCCTGGACATCGAGCTCTGGACCGAGGCTGCCGGGGCCCCAGTCGGCCTCGACCCTAGACATCCAGTTTTCTGGGAGCAGGCGGAGACCGAGATCACGGGAGAGCTTCAGGAGGCTTCGGGAGCTGCGAGTTCGACCTGGTGTTTCGCGGACCGCTTCGCGGACTTCGAACAGGACACATTTGTTTCGCCTACAGTTCCGAGGAGGGTCCGTCAGCAGGCTCTGCAGGTCCTGGAAGGGGCGGGGATTAGGAAGGTTAAGAGACGTACCCGAAAGGACATCCAGAAAGCCCTGAAGAGTTTGGGGGCTACGATATGTCTCGAGCTCTTCTCCGCTCCGAGAGTGGAGCCCGAGCTCAGGCGTCTGGGCTTCCCTACTTCCCCCTCCCTCGATCTTAGGACGGGGTGGGATCTTCGCAAGGCTGAGGACCGAAGACGTCTCTGGAAGCTTCTGGACACTGAGAACCCTCTCACGATCCTGATGTCCCCCCCCTGCACGGTGTTCAGTATTTCCAGGACGACGGCGGACCAAATGGATCCGGCTGAGAGAGCCCGGGCAGAGCAAGAGGCTCTCCTTTTCATTTCTATCTGTGCTCAGGTCGCGTCGTACCAGCATCAGAAGAGGCGTTTCTTTCTGCTCGAGCATCCTTTGACCGCCAGCAGCTGGCAGTTGGTGAGTATCCAGAAGCTCGCGGCTCTTGAGGGGGTTCGTTACGTGGACATGGATCAGTGTGCTTTCGGGCTTTCGGTGTCCCCAGGGACCGTTTCCAAGAAACCCACTAGGCTGTTGTCTAACAGTCACGATCTCCTGCGTATCTGCTCTCGCAAGTGCCCCGGAGATCATGAGCACCTGCACTTGGTGGGAGGGGCCAGGGCGAGGGCGTCGCAGCAGTGCCCCCGTGACCTCGTGGCCGCGCTCTGCAAGGGGGTGGAGCTGACCGCCGCGCGCGCTCTCTTTTGCCAGTCGCCAGAGGACGATCCGTCCTATCCTGCCAGAATGTCTGAGGAGGGAGTTCAGCAGGTTGACTCAGACACCGACGAGGAAGAGGATTCCTCGCCCTCCCCTCCAGGCCCCGAGGATCCGCCTCCAGGGGACGATCCTGAGCCCAGGGTTCCGCCGGGGACGGGGAGTCTTTCTGAGCCGAGACTCGACCGAGAGACTCAAAATGAAGTGCATAAATTGCACGCCAATTTGGGTCATCCCAGGCATGAAGAGTTTGTCCGGTCCCTTAAAGTTGCTAAGATAAGAGACGACATCGTCAGGTGGGTGGCGAAGTCTTTTCGATGTCCCCAGTGCGATGGGGAGGCCCGTCCGCACTGGAGACGTCGAGCCCAGCTTCCTCGGGCGTTTCGTTTCAACAAGCTTATGGCGGTGGACCTCTTTTACATCCAGGCCTTCGGAGAGAATATCCCGGTGCTGAATATGATAGATCACGGGTCGAACTATCAATGCTGCACGGTCTTGAAAAATGCTACGGCTCAACAGGTGTGGTCGGGCTTCGTTCGGGCCTGGGTGCGGCCAATGGGGGTGCCAGAGATACTTATGTCCGACGGGGGTCCCGAATTTGAGGCCATCTTTCAGCGTGCTCTCGAGAATTTAGGGGTGTATCATCATGTCTGTGATGCCGAGAGTCCACGCCAAAACGGAAGGTGTGAGAGGCACGGGGGACTTGTCAAGACTTAGGCGATCCATTCTCCATTCATCATTGTGGACCTCTGTTCCAGCCAATCCGCACCGCTGTTTTCTTGTTGTTTTTAATGTGATTTTTAGGCTACCCAATTTTCCTTTAGAACTATTATTATTTTTATATATACCTATAGATTTCCACTTGGCATCTGTGTTTTTCAATTGAAATTTTCTCAATATCTCATACGCAATAATTCACAATTGATTTAAAGATTATTTCATTGGTTCTGGGCAAATTCAAAACGCCCTGGTAGTGTTTTCGTCCCAAAACCTCCTCGATTGATCAGGCCTCAAAAAACAGCTATGAAAACACAGAAAAAAACACATAAAAAACATTTTTTTTTTTTTTTTAAAAAAAAAAAAAAAAAAAACAAAACAACAAAAAAAAAAAAAAAAAAAAAAAAAAAAAAAAAAAAAAAAAAAAAAACAAAAAAAAAACAAAAAAAAAAAAAAAAAAAAAAAAAACACAAAACGGAGGAAACGGATGGCGGCAGTATCGCTGTTCAAAATTACAATAACGCAACGGCAGCGCGGCAATGCGCAATAATACCACAACATTTGTAACATATGTGCGTAATATATTCATATATAACAAACAATGAATAGCAATAACAAACACAAAACACAAGACCAACATCACATCACGACGACAGCAACACAACACAACACACGCACAAACAACCACGAACACTCACAATCACACACACAGACACACACACACACACGCACACGCGCGCGCGCTCTGCTTGCGCGCTCGCCCCCTGCTCTGCTGGGGCTCTGCCGACCCACCTCGCCCCCTGCTCTGCCAGGGCTCTGCCGACACGCCGCGCCGCTTTCTTTCTCATGTGGCGCGGCGGCCTCGCGCGGCGCTCCTGCTGCGCGACGCGGCGAATGCCAGAATGGCTAGGGAGGGGAGGCGGTCACCCACGGCGCCTCGACCCCCAAGCCCCAGACCCCCAATACCCCCAACAGATGTTCCTTGCGCCGCGGTTGAACCCGTCCCCTCCAGCCCATTCGCGGCAATCGCCAGGCCCTGCGGCCGCGCCGCCATGCGCTCCCCGGCCGCGACGAGCTGGGGGCGGCAGCCAGCAGGAGGGCGGGAGGGCGAGGGCCATAGGCCACCATAGGTGGGAGGTGAGGAGTGGACAGGATTCCATACAGGGAGCAAGAGTAGGAAAGTAGGAGAAGGGAGTGCGACAAGAACTAAGATGTGAGTCTGAGTAGGACCGAGTAGGAGTCCTACAGTAGGAGCTACAGTAGGAGGGCGAAGCCAGGAAAGAGAGGGGAGAGACTGCTGAGCCGCTCAGCCCACCGCGCGGCGCCAGCGGCGCGCCGCGAACTGAGGCAGTGCGTTCCGTCCTTGGCCCATCTTCCCCCCCCCCTCTCTCCTCCCTCCCCCCGCCCCCCTCCCTCGCAGCGGGCGACGGTACTGGTCGCAACCAGGGTCTAAGAGTCCAAGAGGGATGAGGATGGGTCCAGGATGAGGATGAGATGAGGGAAGGAGGAGGACGGCAGGGGGGCAAGGAGCGAAGAGCGAAGAGCGAGAGGGGAGGCAGAGTTGGGAAAGAGCAAACAAAGGTGAGGAAATCCTCACTTCGCCACGCGTTCAAAATGGCGGGCGGGCAGGAACGCCGAGCACCCAAAGCACTGGACTCCACGTCCGTCCAGTTGTCTCGCTCTGCTGCCCCTGCCCGCCGCCTGCTGGCCGCGGCCTGGGCCGGGCCGCTCTGCCCTGGCGCCCTGGCCACAGGCCGCCTCCAGCCCTGAGAGAGCTTCCTCTGGTGGAGTCCTCCTCTCCTCTCCTCCTCTTGACTGTTCTTGACTCTTGGCTCCTCTTCCTCTTCCCTATCCCCTCTTCCTCATCCGATCCTCATCCTCCATCCTCCGCCTGATCCTTCCCTGATCCCCTGGACTCCTGACTCCTCCCTGGACCCTGGACTCATCCTGACTGACTCATCACTCATCCTCTTCCTCCCTGGACCCTGGACTCATCCTAGACTCCTCTCACTCCTGTTCGCTCTACTCAGGCCGCCGGGGCCTCCTGCTCGCCCGTCTTCTTAACCTCGTCCAGCCCCTGCTTCAACGCTTTGGGCAGGGTGACGGACAAGGCGCTGCACTCCGTGAAGAAGGCTTCCACCTCCAGGAGCGGCAGAGGGGCCAGGGAGGGAGGTAGGGACGGCGAGGGCGAGCAAGGGAGTGACAGAGCACAGCGAGGGAGCGAGGGAGACTGTGAGGGAGCGATGGAAAATGGGAATGAAGGAGCGCGGTAGTCAGGAGGCGAAGGGGGCCAGGAGGAATACTGGAATACTCAGGGAGATCAAGGAAATGGGGAGGGAGGGGCGATGGATGGAAGGGGCAGTGGAAGGAGAGGAGGGGGGGGATTCAGGGGACAGAGAGAGAGAGAGAGAGAAGGGGGGGAAAAAAACACGAGACAGGGAGAGGGGGAGAGGAAGGGAGGGTAGGGAAAGAGGCGATGGCCAGGGCGGGAGGGATGGGGAGGGTGAAAGGGCGACGCTGGAGGGGGCGCGGCACGCCGCGAGCCGCCTCCGTCGTCTTCTTCTTCGTGTAGATCACGAGCCCCGTGATGGTAACGATCCTCATGGGGCGCAGAAGAGAGGGAAGATGGGGGGGGGGAGAAAGGAGACCGGAGGTGCCGGAGGAGGGAAGAGTAGAAGGGGGAGCGGAAAAAGAAATCAGGGAGTCGAGGAAGAGGGGGGGACGGAGGAG